TCCCCCACATTTATATTTCTTATATTTTTGAAAATGCCATTTTCTAGTGTCCGTTTTCGCGTTTCCCTGTTTTCCTATTTCTATGTCCGTGCATCATAGTATACCCTCAAATCTCTCTTACGATCATTTATTTCGCATTCGAAAAATATATATATATATATATCTTATTTGAAAACAATCAATGGTTTTTGTTTTAACACAATTAAAATTAGCATAGTACAAAATCTTTGTCCCTCTCCTTTTTCTCGCTAATTTTCTAACCTAATTTTAGTTTGGGATGCCGTTAATCAGAGGTAGCCCCTACCTTCTACTCTTCCTCTTGATTGGTTACCTTGTTTTGCTTTTAATCTTTTATTTACTTTAATAAATTCATATTTGTTTTTTATACAATATATCTATCTTTTTTATTTATTTTTGTTATTGTTGCTTTGCTTTGTCCCCATATTTGGAATTTTTTTGTGCCTTTTTTGTGAGGATCGTCTCTTCCTTATGAGGGTTTATTACTAAATAGAAAATGATATTTGATTTTATTTAGTTAGAGATTTTAGATCTTGATTTGTAGGTGTGGATCTTCAATGGTAGTGCGGCCTGTAGTTTTCGTACCGCCCCCGAGCGACCTGAAAAACGTCTCTCTTTTATTTTTGATGGAAAATGATATTATTATGAAAAGTGGTGACAAAACATTTTGGATACGATGACGATAAATCGGTTTTAAAAACATTTTTGAGTCGTCACCTATTATTTCGGCAATGGGACCATTTCCAATTTTATAAAAAAGTGACTCCATTTTAAACCCAATTTTGTTCAAGGCCAAATTATTTAGAAAACTGGTTAGGCGCACCAATGCGATTCTGGGGGCGCACCAATTGCGATTCTGGGTAAGGGAATTGGATATGCTGGCGCCGTTGGAAGCCGACGCCCAAACAATTGGCCTCTTTTTAACCTAAGTTCCTATTTGGAAAATTGTTTAATCGTCCCAAACAAATCTAATTATCACATAACAATTATTCAAATTAAAGCAATTAAATCAAAGCAATTAAACCATATAAATAAAAGACCCGCTCTTGCCTTATGGTTCAAGGCGGGCGACAAACCGAATCAAAAATATTAAATGGAATAAATAAATGACCTACTCTTGCCTTATGGTTCAAGGCGGGCGACAAACCGAATCCAAAAAAATTATATAAACCGATTCAAAATTAAATACAAAAATTACAAAAATAAAATCACACATAATTATTATTTAACACTAAATATACAAATTATTATTAATAAACATGAAATTGTCATTTTCCAGCAGATTTATTTTGAAAAAAATTGAATTTTATTTTGTACAAAAAATATTTTTTATTTCTTTCGAAAGAAAAAATTGTTTCTGGAACCCTAGAACAGCGCATCACGCACTTTCTTGGAAGAAGCCAATTGCGTGACGCCAACTGTTCTGGGTGAAGAAACGAAATTTTGACGATGAACGAGTTCCGTCACGCATCTGCCAGAGCCGTTACGATCTACTGGCTTCGGATCTACTGGCTGCGTGACGCAACTGCTCTGGTCCGAACTCTGTTTTAAATTATTTGTTTAAAGCGTTTTTTATTTAAATATATTTTAGGACACCCTCGAATGACAAAAAACAAACAGAATACAATTCAATTAAGATTCAACTACTAAAACAATAACAAGATAAATAATCAATGAATAAAAAAACACAAAAAGTGTAAAGGAATTACCTAATCCTCAGATTGAGGATTGTAAACGGCTTAACGAACGATAGTTAAGGTGATCCAGAAGCTTTGTCAACAAGGATTTAAATGTTCACTCTTTTCTCTCTTGATTTTCTCTCTTTTTTTTTTGGTTTGATTCACCTAAAATTGATATCTAATGGCAATTCTCCTTCAAACGAACTCAAAAGAGCTTCTGGACGAGAATGTCCGCACTGTGTGTTTTTAGGGTTTTCAAAATGTTTTCCGAAGTTGTCTCAAATGTGAGAAAAAGATCTATTTATAGAAGTAGGGCAACAGAGCATAGCTGCATCACGCAGCTAACAGCTGCGTGACGGATCTAGTCAGTCGCGTGACGTAGCTCACTTGTTGTACCACAACTACGTGTCGTTCAGCATGAAAAACGGCATGTCGTCATTCTTTGACGACGACATGCAGATCTGAGTTGGATCAGAGCTGCGTGACGCAGCTATAGTGCCGTCACGCACCTGCATAGCTGCGTAACGCGGCTCTGACCCAGTCAGACACTTAAAATCTTTTTAATTTAAATTTGGATTAAAATTAAAAGACTTCTAGATAGCATTAACCCATCATTCTGTATCCTCGTATCATCATTGGATCAGGTGGGGGCATAAAAACACGCGTCAACACCTGTTTCTCCATTAATACTATTGACGCATAGTGATGGAAACTCATCCGTATTCGTTATATGTTGTAAATTTTTGCAAAAGTATAGAAGATTCAGAGAAGTTATTATTTTATCGTTCAAATCAATTAATAAACTAGTTGCTACCATGAAGATTTATACCTTTTATCAAAATCAACTCCAAACAAAAAGATCTATATAATATTATTTTTTTTTAGTTTTAGTTTTATTACTAAAAAGGATATAAATTTATTTGTTTCGTTAAAAGAAATAGTAAAGTTTTAGGCCTAGTATATATGAGTTTGTAATTCTTCATATTATTGATGAGTTGACATTTTTTTAAAAAAAATAGCATCGTACAATTATGAAATTATTAATTCAAATTCATGAAATAAGGTTTGATCCTATTTATGGGGATTCGGTAAATATTTCATTCCAAAAAAAAAAAAAAAGAGAAACAATTGAAATTTTTTTGGAGATTGGATGCAGTTACTAATTCATGATCTGTACATCTACATAGAGTTGTTAATTTGTAGCTCTCCCTTTTTCTCTTTTCTCTTTAGTTTTTTAATCCTAGTTTTAGTTCAGGGTTGCCGCTGTTTATCAGCGGTATCCCCCTACCTCCTATTTTATACTATCTCTTTCGCTTACCTTCTTTTGCTTTTAACCTTCTTTTGCTTTAATAAACTCAAAATTGTTTTTTCTATAACGGATATATCTTTTTTGTTTTTGTTATTGTTGGTTATCTCCATATTTGGAGTTTTTTGTCTCTTCTTTGTGAGGGTTCATTACTAAATAAAACTATGATATTTGATTTTATTTGGTTATAGACTTTTAGAACTTGATTTACAAGTGTGGATCGTCGATCGATGAAGCCTGGTAGTACGTCATATTCCTCCATTGATGCTATTGATGCATAACAGTGAAAAATCATCTGTATTCATCATATGTTGTAAATTATTGGAAAAACAATCAAGTTATAGAAAATACAAAAGAGTTATTATTTTGACGTCCAAATCAATTAACGGACTAGTTGCTGCCTATGAAGATTTATATCTTTTGTCAATATTTACTCCAAGTGGAAAGATCTAATATTATATATTTTTTAATTTTAGTTGCATTATTCAAAAGGATATGAATTTTTTTATTTCGCTAAAAGATCAACAAACTCTATTAGCTAGCAATAGTAAAATTTTATGTCTATATGCTTATTTGCAATTCTTGATATTATTATTAATGAATTACATTTTAAAATAACATTCAAATTTTACATGTAACTTGAGACATATCATAGGCATTGGGAGAGCTTCCTCAAAGGCATGAAGTGGGAGATCAAGATTCGGCTTATCTCAATGGGCTAGGGACACGATGGCTAATTAGATGAGATCTGATTGGTCTTCTTACTTTTGTGGGAAGTGAAAGATCTCATGTTTTCACTAATTTGGTGAGTACCCTCACGGTCCACAACATTCTTTCGACCGTTACGCCTCCTAACGAATAAAAAATATCGATATTATTTTACTATTTACAATGGATGGTTTATTAGATAAAAAAAAGTAAAAGAATCTTAAATTTTAAATTGTGATATAAAAAATATATATTGTCAATATTATTATTAGTATTGTCATTATTAATGATATAACTGTTACTAATACTATTATCAGTGTCAGTTTATAAATTAAATGAAAAGGTTGTTTTCATTTAACCATATTCATTATCTTCATCATATTATAATACTAATCTAATTCTAACCAGATTATTTTCATTACAGCTCTTATTACTTTTACTACTGCTGCTATTATGAGCACTACCGCGACCACCGCGACAACATAAGCGGTAATACTATTACCACTTATTTTGAATGTTAATTCAAATAATGAGATTGTCAATAGATAAAGGGAGACAAAAAATACGTCCTCGAACCATATATAATTTAGTACGAACGGAATGCCAATTCGATAAAACGACAAATAATGCCAATTCGATGAAACGACATCTTGAATGGAATCTTAAAATCACGTGTTTGGCATTGCATACTTTTTGTAGATTTTTTTTTGACTGGAATATACTTTTTGTAGATAAGTAAATTTAATAGAAATTTAAGAAAATGCAATAAATTTTATTTCTCATACTTTTTATAATATTTATATAAGAAAAAAATCATTAATTTAAAAAAAAAAGTATAAAAAATAAAATCAATAACAAGTAAATTGTAATTTTAAATTTTTTATATTTTTGTAACTAAATAAATTGTTAGAAAATTTTTAAAACGCAAATTATTGTTTTATTAATATTAAAAATAAAAAAGATACAAATATTGGATTACAAAGATTTTGTAATTGTTAGTTTATAATATTTTTTTAGTTTACTAAATATATAAAAATCAGATATTCTTTTAAGTTGGTTAAATTATTTTTTAAAATTGGTCTTCAATTAACTTAAATGTAAAGTTACATTAGGGTTTCAATCAAATTAAATATATTATTAGGCATTAAAAATAAACAGACATGTATACACGAGCACTAAAGCAACTCGAATTTCTAAATTTAAAACTTTTTACATTAAATTAAATTAAAATCTAAAATTTAGTTATAATAAATAACATCGATAATTATTTTACCACAGTAAAAGTAAAAATGAATGGTGAAGATGAATATTATTTCTGCTCTAAGACTGTGATCAAGGGTAGTTTATCAGTTCGTTTGCTTGCTCCTGCGACTAGTAACACGAGGCTTAAAATTATTTCTGCGCTTCAAGAGATTTTTTTTTATTAGCAAAAAAATATTATATATTATTATTGATGATATAAAATACAGGAAAAAACTTAACAAACACATGTATCTACACCCAAGTCATTACGCTTTCTCCAAAAAATCAAACCTAGCCCATGAATGTTAGGCTAAAAAACCTGGAACAATCTCATAAATACAATAGAAACACGCAAACAAAACAAGAAATTCATCTAAAGAGTTTGCAATGGTACTTTGATCTTTATGGGAGGCTCGAAACGCGGCTGCTTGGAAAGGGGTATTTCAAGATCACTGGCACGTTAAGCGTAGAGTGGGTTCTGCGTTAAATGATCGGGAAAGAGCTCAAACTGTGGTACAAAGAACTCATCAGCCTGCACTGTTGGTGCCATGGTCACGTCCACCAGAGGGGACCTTGAAGATTAATGTGGATGGTGCTTGTTTCTCAACTGATTATGTAGGTGTTGGTTGTGTGATTCGTGATTGCAATGGTGCTTTTATTGGTGCTCTCCAAAACCAAAAATCTTTCAGCGGTGCTCTTGAACCAAGATTTGTGGAATTGTTGGCTATTCATGAGGCTTTATCTTGGATCAAAAGAGAAGGCTGGCATCTAGTTACAGTGGAATCGGATGCTCTTGACTGTGTACGTGCAGTCCTGGATTCGAATTATGTTGATGATTTTAATTTTGGTTTGTTTGTTTTTGATTGTAAATCTCTGCTTAGTGAGCTTAGAGATGTCAATCTTTCTTATGTTCGTAGATCTGCTAATGATACAGCTCATAGGTTGGCTAGAGCTTGTTTCATGGAAACGGATCCTGTGGTTTGGGTTGTCTCCCCTCCACCTTGTATTTCGGATTCTTTTTTGATGAATTAATGATAATCTACCACATTTCCTCAAAAAAAAAAAAAAAAAAAAAAAAAAAAAAAAAAAGACAAGAAATTCATCTCTTGAGATAAGAGAGGATAAATTTCAAACAAAGACCACAACAGAGAAGAGGTAGCTATATCTATGGCAGAAGACGTGAAACCTTATCTACTCCATCTTTAGCTGATTGGTCAGCAAAGCAATTTTTGATCTTTTAACATGAGAGAAGGAAATTTGAGGAAGAGAGGCAATAATTGTATCCAGTTTATTGAACCTTTCCAACCAAATCCAAGGTCTCCAATCTCTACTGGAGACCCAAATAATTGCATTTTTAAAATCCGATTCCAGAATTAAAGCAAAGGAATGGTACTAAGATGAACTGAAAGTTTCCAAAGTATATAAGATTGGTAAGAGTTCTCCTTCATTGGAGTCCATTACGCTTATGCTTTTGGAGAAAATGCAAAGAACATAGGCCTTAGGAGTCTCTTAGAACTCTTCTTAATTTGAGGACACTAGAATCTTTGAGCAATCCAAAAAATTGCAGGAAGAGGATTGTTTTTTTAAATTTTCATAAGTTCTTTTTAATTTTCATAAAGGTATCATAATGACTCACTAGAGATGGAAAGTAAAACCAATCAATTCAGCAAAAAAGGAGAGCTCAAAATTTGGCTTTGATTAATTCAAAGGATTGAAGCTTGATACTGTCAATTAAATTATCATCCTCAATCTAAGTGCCCCCAAAGATTAGGTTGTTACGCCTCCACCAAATTATCCATAAAGTGAGATAGAAAATAGACATCCATATAAAGGACTTGCCTTTAGCGATGAAACAGCTTTCCCACTGCAATGCTAAGTCGAGGAGTTTAAAAGGGAGGATAATGTTGATTCTCCACCAATTAAGCATATTAAACCAGATTTGGTTAGCCTTAAGACAAGATAGAATACAATGATCAATATCTTCATAAGCTTGATTCCATATTGGACACCAAATATCTTCAAGTGATTGTAAAACTTTCCTTTTAATGAGATTTAATCTTGTTGGAATTCTATTTTGAAAACTTCTCTAAGCAAAAACTAAAACTTTCAAAGGAAGGAAGAAGTTCCAAAGAAATTTGAGACTGTAAGCGCAGGGGGAATGATTCTACCTCTGGATTTTCCAAGAGCAGGTAGAAATTTTTTGAAGAAAGAAACCCCCCCCCCCCCCCCCCCCACCCCCTTGTTGAAAGTCCAAACCCCCCCCCCCCCCCCCCCCTTTTGTTGAAAGTCCAAACCACCTTCTCTTTGGAATGAGGTGTTACCGAAATTCCAATTAATTTGTCATTGAGAGATACGAGTGAGTCCTCTTTAGAAACTCGTAGAGCATGTTTCCATTGCAATTTCCATACACAAGTACCATTTTCAAAGACGCTATATTGAGATATTAGTGCTATTTTGGATGTTGTAATTCTGAAAAGTCTTGGAAAATCAAGTTTTAAGGGAGTATCCAAAAGCCAAAGGTCTATCTAGAACTTGATAGAATTTCCATCATCGAGAACCCAACGGAAGCCATTAACCAAAAAATTTTTTGATGGAGAAGGATTAAATCTTTCCATATAGGAGATAATTTCTTCCAATAATTTCTTTGTGATTCAGGCTTTAAACATGCATCCTTTCCGTATTTTGCCACTAAAACTCACTGCCAAAGAAAACCTTTTTGATGTTTAAAGTGCCACCATCATTTGCCTAAAGGAGCTAATTTTTTCTTCGGTAATCTTGAATACTAAAGCCACCTTTTGAGAAGCTTTTAGAGATATTTCACCAGGCTATCCAATTTAGAGGTTTCTCTCCATTAAAACTTTTACCTCAAAGAAAGCATTTCTAAAAACCCTCTATTTTTCTAATGACATCAGAGGGTGATTTTAAAATCGACAAATAGTAGAGGGGGAGGGAGGAAAGCACAAATTTGATAAATGTTGTTTTACCACCCATAGATAGAAAGCGCCCTTTCGAAGTTTTTGTTGAATTAAGAACATGTTGCCAGACCTTAGTGTTTCTCGGGTTGCAGCCTATAGGAATTTTGAGGTAGGAGGCTAATGATTTTTCTACAGCATATTTGAGAGTGTCCGCGAATTGAGAAAGCTCTTGCACTGTGATGTTTATGCCATACAGCTTGCTTTTATGAAAATTAATTTTTAAACCTGATAAGAGTTGAAAGCAAAGTAGAATTCTTCTAAGATTAGATATTTGAGCATAATCAGCTTTGTTGAAAATTAGTGAGTCATTTGCAAACTGTAGGTGGGAAACTATTACTTGGTCAGAGCCAATCTTTACCTCGGATATGAAGCCTTTTCAAATTGAATTTCAAAGCAGGATGTTTAGTCCTTCTACGACAATTAGAAATAAAAACGGAGACATGGGATCTCCTTGATTCAGTTTGCGGAACATTTGAAATCCTGAAGTTGGAGATCCATTGATAAGGATTGATAGCTTGGAGCTTCTAAGGCATTCTTGAATCCAAGACCTCCATTTTGAGCCAAACGCCAATTTTTCTAACATTGACAACATGAAGTTCCTATCAATAGTGTCAAAGGCCTTCTTAAGCCTTTGAAGAGAATCCCATTTTGTTTACTCCTTTTAAGTTTATGAATTAATTCATTGCAAATGAGAATTCCATCCGTTATTTGCCTCCATTCTATGAAAGCTGACTGATTTTCTCCAATGATGGAACTCATAACTTTCTTGAGTCTTAAAGCCAATACTTTGACAAGCAAGTTATATAAGCTGACTATTAAGGATATGGGTCTGAAATCCTTCAAGCATTAAGGGGAAATGACCTTCGGGATTAAAGCTAGAAAGCTTGAGTGTGCCCCTGCAAAGTCTTCTATGTTTATGAAAATCATTTAAAAAATGCAATAAGTCTACTTTAATAATATCCCAGCACTTTCTGTAAAATTCCATAATGTAACCATCTGGTCCCGGAGCTTTAGAGGAGTCACAGCTCCCAAGTGTCGCTTTGACTTCACTCCTAGAAAACTCAGCTTCAAGAAAATCCGTGATGATGAGAGTTTATTAGGTGGATCGCAAACCAAGGAAGGTCGAGGCATAGAAGGTGTTGAAAAAATATTTGTGAAAAAAATTCTTTGCTGCTTCATGGACTTGGCCCACCTCATGAATCCAATCACCATAAACTGAGAAGGCATGAGTATAATTCCTAGAGATCCTTTTATTGATGGATGCATGAGAGAACTTTATGTTGGCGTCTCCATCTTTTTTTTTTTTCTTAAAATGCTCTCTTGAGGCCTCTGTAATTAATAAAGCTTCAAGGTTAATTATCTTCTCTCTAATATCTCATATTCAGAAAGAAACCAAGATTCAACTTTAAGGTTAAGGTCTGCCAGATTACTTTGAATCCTTGACAAGTCTGTGTGAACATTGCCAAATGAAGATTGGTTCCATTCCTTTAATCTTACCTTCAAAAGCTTTAATTTAGAGAGAAAAATAAAGCCTCCCTAGCCTAAAATGTTAGAATCTCTTAAAGAATTTGAAACCAGACATAGAAAATCTAGGTGATTGCACCAAAAAATGAAAAACGAAAGAGTCTGGGGCCCTAATGCACTGTGTCTGAACAAAGGAGATTTGGGCACTGATTGGAGCAGAGTCTTTTCAGTCCTTTACAATTAGAATTTGGCTAATTGGCAAACTAATTGTTGCTGAGAAGAAATCTATCTAAGAGACTCTTTTTTTACCTACTGGAGTTAATCCAAGTGTATTTTCAGCCAATAAGAGGGTGATCAATGAGACTACAAGAAGAGATAACTGACTAAAGTCATTTATACTGGCTGGATCTTCCCAGCAACCCTTTCTTTCCTCAATACTATAAATAATATTAAAATCCCCTCCCATACAAATTACGCCATTCAAATTTGAGATTAGGGAGTGGAGAAGGCCACAACTACTTCCTTAAGTTGACATCACAAGGTGCATAAATATTAATCAAGTGAACATCATTAGAGAGATGAGGGAACTTGCCTGATACACGAAGAAAACCATCACTAGAGATTGTTTGAGAATTTAAGCTCCATAAAGTTAGAATACCACCCGTTGATCCTGTAGTATCAACTGAGGCCCAATCAAAATTTGAATCTGCCCATAGTCTTTTTGCAAAGTTTGAATATTAGAATCCTTCTTAGTTTCTTGAATGAATAAAATTCTCACCTTTTCAGAAATCACCAAGCTCCTAATCGCCTCTTGCTTTTCCTTTCCTTCGCAATCCTCTAACATTTAGTGATAAAATTTGAGGTAGAGGCATCATATAAACAAAGAGAAAGAAGCCCAAAACCAATTATAGTAGAGAAAGTGCTTAACTTGCCCAACTCAATAAGGGTAGCCACCATATCACTTTGAGGACCTTCATAACCCAAACCAATTTTTCAAACTAGATTCCAAGTGATATTAGCATCCATAGAGACATCAAAGAATTCCTTATTTGATTCAGAATACAAATGACTGGTATTATCAACTTCATCATCAAAGACAAAAGATGAGAAAGAAGGAGAAGAGAGATTAGAGGGGGGATAGTTTGAAGAAGGTGAGTCAAGGGGTGAGTTGCTGAGAATTGGTTTGGATTTGGAAGCTAGCCTTTTTCTCCTGCTTAAATATATGTTGATGACGGAAGGTTAGGTGGGCTTATGCCTAACGGGCTTCAAACATCCTTAAGATCTTGCATATTATAGTTAGAAAGGTCCACAAGTAAGTTGCAAGGAGTTTGATCAAGTAGGCCTACAATAGGGTGGGCTTGGGTATAAGGTCCAATATAGGTAATAGGTTCTGGGGACAGGATGTGAGGGGCTCCCAAATCACAAGATTCTATCTCAAAAAAAAATAAAAAAATAAAAAAATAAAAAAAATAAAAAAAATCAGAAGCGTCGAACCTCTTTTCAAAAGAGCGTTTGGGATCCCCTAAAATGGGAAGAAAATGGATGAAATGATTATCGAGCAAGGTGGCGGCGTGATTGTCATTTTTTGAAAGAACCAACGAGGGGCTGGGAAGTTGTGGGTTTGTCTCTTATGGCGTTATGACTACTTTCCGGTGTTGTAGCCTGACTGGAGTTTCCTCAATCGCCATTTGAGATTCGTAATCATTATCAGATGAATTTTCTGAATTTAGATCTTATAAGGATGGATTCAAGTTGACAAAACCTTGAAGAGGAAGAAAGCCGTCTTCTTCACAAATTCTGGTGGTGTATTTTATTCGGTCAGGATATTTTGTGAAGATTATGACTCTACCAATATCGAGTCTAGATTTTGATGAAGTGAGATTGTCAGTCTTGATGAATATACCGCATACAGAACCAACCTATTTGAAAAACTCTTCACTCTAGGCTATCAACGGAATTCCTTAACACTGGAGCGACGTCCTTCTATCAGGAGATAGAATCAGGTCTGGTGTCCATAAACAACAACTACTTCGAGTGGGATTGAACATTGTACGCAAAGTTGTTGGCTTCTACGGGTGAAGTAAAGTGAACAAGAATTGTGAAAGCATCGACGTAGGTTGCTTTGTGAAAAAACCTGTTTAATTCGTGTACCAATCGAATGTGTTTAATTGATGTCAAGCATATTTAGACATAAATATATTTATATTTATTATTGGACTAATTATTAAATTAATTTCTATGTGCTGTAAATTTGATGTTTTTTGAAATATTTAAAATTTATGCTATCACAAAATAATTTAGATTTGTTCTAAAATTAATAAATACAAAGGTAAAGTTTCTTTTGCTGGCCATTTTATTTTCTTTACAATCTTAGTGGTTCTGTTGTTTTGTTTTGTTTTCTTTTATATTTTGATTTTGTTTTATTTAATAAAAATAAAAAATAAAAAAGTAACAGACCCGTTGTTTAATAAATAATATATTATTTTGTTGTGTTTTTTGGCTAGGGAAGAGTCTTTGTTATCGAAAACCACTAGGCAAGGCCATGAGTTGGCCATACAACTTCGGTCATCCCAAAACAATTCAAGAAGAGAATTATTTAGGGTTTTATGGCCGTTTCTAGTTATTTACAAATTTACCATTAAGGTAGATTCTCTATTTACTTATGAATATGCTATTAAGGTAGATTCTCTATTTATTTACGAATCTGCCATTAACTACTATCCTTTTCTTATTTTCAATTCTACTATTGGTCAGATTTCTGGATAACTATGAAAACACCTTAAATTAAATAATTTTTTATTTAAGCCATTGCAATTAATTTTTTATGACATTATTTAATTAAAAAATTATTTTTAATTAAATATATGAGACCATTAAAATGTGTGGCAGTGTTTTTAATTTAATTTAAAATTTTATTTTTAATATGTTTAGAAAGTGAGTTAAAATTGTTTAATTCACAAAAAAATTATTTTATAAATTAATATCTAAAATTATTAGGAGTAATATATTTTAATTTATTATTAATTCTGATTTGTTTGGAATTAATAAAATTAATTTATAAAATGATTTTGTAAATTCTAGATTTATTTTTAATGTAAAATTCTATTGTGATTAGAAATTGAATAAATTTATTTTATTCATAAATTGAATTTTAGAAAAACTTTAAATTAAAATTTTGTTTTTTTTATTCTATAGCACAAAAAGCCAATAATATAGATAATGCATTCTTAGTAAACGTAATAATCATTTTTCAGAAATATGAACATTAGAATTATTCTATTTATAGTTTTTTATGGCACTTGGTTGGATAATTATTGTTATTTAATAGTTATTATTTTTGCTATTTCTGCAATATGATGTTATCTCATGTTATATATGGATGACGATTAAAAACATAGTAACCTTTTGATTCTAAGTATGATGTGAGTTATCATTGATATGTGCAATTAGGTGCAAAAATAATATTTTTTCACGTATGCATTGGATATTAATAAATATTTATAACTATTGTCAATATATAGATTGTGTATTTATTCAAATAGCATTTGCTACAAAGAGCATAGTTGTTTAACTTAACTGTGGAACCAAATTGAATGGTGATAACTATGGATCTAGAGTGTGAATCTAATAGATGCTGGAAGAGCAAGAGGCTCTTGAACAACTAAATGCTATCATGGAAAAACCCGATGGAGGCAACACGGCTTAGCATAGGCGAAACCATGATACTTATGTGGCTTGAAAAAGAAAAGAGTTCCTTGGCACACAACACTATGTTTAGTGCAATGGATAATGATGTCATGAAGGAATTCAAGAGCTTTTAATTTGCAAAGGACTTGTGAAAAGCCTTGAAAAATAAGTTTGGCAGTGTTTCCATCACAAAATTTCAGTACTCATTATCAAATTTGATACTTATAAGAAGAGTCTTGGACACACAATGAAGAGACAATTAAGTGAAATGTCCAATATGATAAGTAAGTTACATAATATTGGTCATATGTTGATTGAGAACAGAAGATCTAAGCTGTTATTCATTTTTTTTCCTGAAAGTTGGTAGCATATGAGTATGCAATTAATGCACAATGACACTATCAAGACCTTTAGTGATGCGTCAGGATATTTGATCAACTTGAAGTTGATCAGCTTAATGATGTACAATTAAGTGCAATGGCACATGTGGTTATACCTAGTTCACATGGGATTGCAGGTCATAAGCATAAGGGAGGTATGGAAAAAGGCAAGGATAAACAAGTTCAAGGGGGAAAGAGGGCTAAATAAAACCAAAGTTAAACAAAATTTCAATGACTCATTTTTTATTTTTCTTTTCCCAAAATCGACTTTTGGTCCATAAAAGTAAATATTTAAATTTGTCATCCATAAGCTTAAACTCTATTTTTTTTTTCTCATTTTTTATTATTTTGTAATAATAATGCAGAAATAACCCAAAACAGGAATTATTTTGCAGATTGTTTGGACAAAAGTGGAGTTGATGCAGATAATCACTTCTTAACTTGATTGTAGTACTTCAGTTTTTATATTTTACTTTATCTTGATCCTTTTTCTTTTTCCCTTCTCTTGCAAAGGTTTAATGTTCAATGATATTCGTGCTCATTTTAAATGGTGTCCAAGTTTTTTTTCCTAACATTTTCAAGCTAGATATGAGGTTTTTTTTTTAAAAAAAAATTTTGAAGCAAAGAAGCTCTTTATTAAGTAGTTAAATCATGAGGAAACGTTAGTGCATCCATTTGTGGACTGCCCTTTTGCACGCGCCTGCTGGTCTGTTTCATCTGTTGGCCACCATACTGCCTCATCTGGAAATTTCATTGACTGGTTTAGATCTTTATTTGGGCAGTTGAATGGTGATTTATCTAAAGAGTTTGCAATGGTACTTTGGTCTTTGTGGGAGGCTCAAAACGCGGCTGTTTGGAAAGGGGTATTTCAAGATCAATGGCATGTTAAGCATAGAGTGGGTTCTATGTTAAATGATTGGGAAAGAGCTCAAACTGTGTATAAAGAACTCATCAGCCTGCAATGTTGGTGCCATGGTCACGTCCACCGGAGGGGACCTTGAAGATCATTGTGGACGGTGCTTGTTTCTCAACTGATTATGTAGGTGTTGGTTGTGTGGTTCGTGATTGCAATGGTGCTTTTATTGGTGCTCTCCAGAAATCTTTTCGCGGTGCTCTTGAACCAAGATTTGTGGAATTGTTGGCTATTCATGAGGCTTTATCTTGGATCAAAAGATAAGGATGGCATCCAGTTATGGTGGAATCGGATGCTCTTGATTGTGTCCGTGCAGTCCTGGATTCGAATTATGTTGATGATTCTAGTTTTGGTTTGTTTATTATTGATTGTAAATCTCTGTTTAGTGAGCTTAGAGATGTCAATCTTTCTTATGTTCGTAGATCTGCTAATGATACAACTCATAGGTTGGCTAGAGCTTGTCTCATGGAGACGGATCCTGTGGTTTGGGTTGTTTCCCCTCCACTTTGTATTTCGGATTCTTTCTTGATGAATTAATGATAATCTACAACATTTCCTCAAAAAAAAAAAAAAGTAGATAAATCATCAATAATCAAAGCTTCTATCGTAAGTAATAATATCCCAATGTTGGAAACTAGCATGACTAATGACCTCCTTTGCAAGAGCATCGACAGATTTATATACTTGTCTCCTAATCCAAGCCACCAAAACATTAGTTAACTGGCTTAAAAGAGTCCTATGGTCTTCAATGATGAGACCCCAATCTGAAAGGTATGTACTGCTAACATGTACAATAAGATTGACTGCTAGAGAATCTGTTCCCAATTGCACATACCTCCACTGCTTGTCCTTAAGCTAAGAGAGAACCTCTCTAAGAGTCAAAGCTAGATTTGGGTTGTTAGGAAAGCTTGATTGCTTGGATTTACTTGCTTAAATTTTTTAAAGTTATTCTTGGTTGTTATCAATAAAAATATTCAATTTGCTAAGAAAGAAATATGGAAATAAGCTTGATAGCTTTGGTATGATATTAATTTCTCAAAGTGTTTAAAGCATTTGTAGAATTCTTTTTGGAGTTTTTAAAGAAAGAGAACAAAGTGGAGAGTAGAAATAATGGATAGAGAGCCCTTTTTACATCTCTTGGTCTCTTTATATAAAGCTATCATTTTCTAACTGTTTTAGATTTAGAGGAGATAATGGAGAAAATCTCTCCACAGTCACTTATTCATTATATTTATTTGAAGGAGATTGTGTGAAAGATATTAATTAGAGATTTTATAGATATTTTGGGATTTTTAGATATTTATTAAAGATAGCATATTTTTAAATGTGGATGCTATTAAGAGTCCCCATAAAAAAATATCGGTCATTTATGTCCAATAAAAGTTAGATTCAATGTAGGAAACTTGATATACTTTTATGGCCTTTATTTTTCATTTTATCCATTGTATGCATTTCTTATTTTGACATAAGTCCAAACTTAAGGCTTCCAATTTCTTTGAAATTTAGTTAATCCAAAGTTAGTCGCTTGATTTAATCATAACTAAGATAGATTCTTTTGAAATGCTTAAGCTTGGAATGGACTTTTT